AAGAAAAGGAGGAAAGAAGGAGGGAGGAAAAGAGAAGAAAGAAAGAAGGAAGGAAAAAGGAAAGAAAGAGAAAGGAAGGAAGGGAGAGAAAGAAAGAAAAAAGAGAAAAAGAAGGGAAGAGAGAAAAGAAATTAAGAAAGAAAAGAAGGAGGAAAGGATGGAGGAAAAGAGAAGAGAGAGAGAAAAAGAAAGAAAGAAAGAAAGAAAGAAAGAAAGAGAGAAAGAAAGAAAGAAAGAAAGAAAGAAAGAAAGAAAGAAAGAAAGAAAGAAAGAAAGAAAGAAGAAAAAGAAAGAAAAAGAAAGAAGAAAGAAAAGAAAAGGAAGGAAGGAAGGAAGTTGCAATGTGCTCTACTAGAATAAGGAAAAGATTATTGCTGTGTGACCTTAGCAAGGCATTGAAAAACCTCATGGTGCCTTAGCTTCCTCACCTCTACAGTGGATACACATCATCTTTCTTGCCTCCAACCCAGGGCCATTGTAAGGCTCAAGGCAGAGAATGGACTTAGGAGCACTTAAACCATAAAATACTTCAAGGTATTAAGACTGAGAAGTAGTGTTTGCTATTTGTGAGTGTAGTCTACCCCCCCCCCCCACAGCCTGCTGGGTAAAGGTTTGGAGGTGGGTCATTAGTCTGGCTTGTGAGAAGTCCTTGAACTTGGCTTGGCTGGAACACTGAGAGAGTGGTGGTGGGCAAGGAGGCAGTGGAGAGAAGGAAGGAGATTAGGCTGGAAGAGTGTTAGGGTGTGGGGCTCAGATCCTGGGGGAACCCTGTTCATCGACTTAACATACCTGGACTTGATCATAGGCCATGGGGAGCTATTGAAAGCTCTTGAGCAGCACAGTGACATGATGAAATTAAGTTTTAAGATGAGTCCAGGGGTAATATACTGGGAGAAGGAAGAATTTCTCTCCCAACCTGCCTTTAATCCCTGCAGATAGCTTCAGGTAGGCTGGCCTTTGGGGCAGTAACAGTCCTGGTTCCCATGAGGCTGTGGCCCAGCAGGGATGGACACAGACGAGCTGGATCTTTTAGCAGCCGGGCCCTGGTCAAAGCCTGAGCTCTCCCTTCCCCACCCCATGCTGAAGTGTCAATGTGTTTGAATTTGATTTTACTGGTCTTAATGAGTGGCCAGCCTCAGCCTGAGAACAGCGAGTCCCCAGCTGACCGGGCCAAAGACAGACAGAGGAAGTGAGGGAGCGCCAGGGAAGTTTATTTATAGCTGGGCAGCAGAGGGGTGTTTCAGCAGCTCTTCATACACAGGCCAAAGCTGGAGGCATTTTGACATTCCCCCCTCCCCTACTGTGTCACCTCCAGGTGAGGGCCTCCCCGGGGCATCCTCCCCGGCCACCCCAGAGCCTGCCAGGGGACGAGACCACTCTGAAGTTGGGCTCCCAGGGTCATTCCGGGAGCTTTCCCTCCTAGCCACAGAAGTTCTTGGCCTCCCATTGGACGACGAGCCCAGCTCTGTCTGACCATTCCCAGAGGAGGGAGTGGACAGGGTCAGTGCAACAACCCCAGCTAGTTCTCAAGGCCCCTTTGATTCTGTCATGTTCAGGCAAAATCACAGCCCTACATTTTAAAACTACTTGTTCTTAAGGCACTTGGAGGGTTGTGAAGCAAACCAAATCCTGGCTGTTCGGAAAGACCAGAGCCCACACACAGCCGTCAGCCCCTCTCTGAGCACAAGCTTGTCATTTATCTCCTTTCTACCCAGGGCAAAGGGTAGAAAGGGATACTCAGCCGGCCCTAGCTTATTCTGACCAGAATTTAGAAAACAAACAAATAAATAAATAAAAACACACAGGGTCTCAAGGAAAAAAGGGACTGAAGAAGGCATCTAAATCCGACTCACACCTAAACAAGAGTCTCATTTTATAGCCTCTCCAAAAAATGATCATCTAACCTCCCTGGGAGACTTCAGCGATGGAGAACTGACCTCTCAAAGCAGCCCATTCATGAAGCTGGGGGACAACAATCATCGTTCGCTTTTCTTCACACTGAGCTGACACCTGGCTCGGGGAAGCTTTCCCACATCACTCCTTATTAACTCCTCTGAGGCCAGGCAGAACTAGTCTGATCCCTTTCAAATAATGTACACATACATACACAAAATAGGGGCAGGAATTTGGAACAGGATTGAGGCGGATGCAGAGGGGACACACCCAAGTGTTTCTGGAGAGCCAGTTGTTAAATTTCCAGTGTGGATAGCTGCACCTCAGAAATCTGCAAACGCTACAGATCGGGGCTTGATTTATTGCTTTGCTGATTGTCTAGGCTTGAGAAAGGATGGAGAAAATGAGAATAATACAGATTAAACTGAAAAGTGTGCTGTGAGTACATTTTTTGAGAGCTAGTTGTTAAACATTTATCAGCATACTACCAGGTGGAAGACAATGATTTACCTCAGCAGTGCTTGGATTTTTTTTTTTCAAATGGGGCAATTGAGGTTAAGTGACTTGCCCAGGGTCACATGGCTAGTGTCAAGTATCTGAGCTCAGATTTGAACTCAGGTCCTCCTGACTCCAGGGCCAGTCCTCTATCCACTCCACCACCTAGCTGCTCTTTCACTTCGATTTTTTTTTTTTGCCTTATTTCCCGCTTCCCTTTTATTTGCATAGGAGACCAAAAGGATCTTGGGTGCTCATTCCTTAATTCATTCATTCACCAAGCATTTATAGAGCACCTACTGTGTGCCCTGCACAGTGCTAGATGCTGGGGATATAAAGACAAAAATTAAATAGTCTCTACCCTCAAGGAGCTTACATTCTGTTGGGTTGGAGGGATGGGGGTGGGAAATGATACACACAGAAAATTAAATATAAAATATATTTAAAATATTTTCAAGGAGGAGGACTCTAGCAAGTAGGGGGACCAGGATAGATTCTCTGTAGGGGAGGGTACCTGAACTGAATTTTAAAGGAAGTGAGGGATTCTACAAGGTAGAGGGGAGGAAGGAGGGTATTCCAGGAATGGGACACAGTGTACCGGGGCACTGAGATGGGGGATGGAGCATCCTGGACAGGAAACAATGAGCAAGCCAATTTGGCTGAAATGTAGCATGTGTAAAGGGTAGTAATGAGTAATAAGACTGGAAAATTAGGCTGGAGCCAGACTGAGAGGGCTTTAAGGACCAAGCAAAGTCTGTATCCTACCCTAGAGGAGGGAGCCCCTGGTGCATCCTGAGTGAGGAGCTGGATCCGTGTTTCAGGGCTCTCAGTGGGGTGGCTCTGGAGGATGGATTGGAAAGGGGACAGACTGGTTGCAGGAGGCTAATGCTATAGTTCAGGCAGCGTGGGATAAGGACCCAAACTCAGGCGGTGGTTGTATGAACGAAGAGAAGTGGATAGAGGCCAAATAGAAGGCTGAGAAAAACCTTCGGGCTTTTGACTTTGCCAGCCTTCATGGTGTGCTTAAATACAGTCTCAAGATTATTTTGAAGGTGCTGGTTGTCAACTGGGAACTGATAGATAATAAAGGCAACTTTCCAACCCTAAGTTAGAATGGGGCCTAGGACAGAGACACTGCTCCTGGTGAGCAAGAGGACATGGTTTAAGGACCGGAGAAAATGCCTGTGAGCTGTACTTAACTCTTTGGCTGCTCTGTATTTCAAAAGGGCTTGGGCCCCTCAAGGCAAGGTGCTTCTCCTTGAAAGCGTCTAGGAAATGACAGATTCGTGGAAAGACATGGAGAGAGACAGAGACAGAGAGAAGGAGAAAGAGAGAGAGGAAGAGAGGGAGAGAGGGAGAAAGAGAGAGAGGAAGGGAGAGATAGAGTGAGAAAGAGAGACAGGAAAGGAGAAAGAGAGAAAGAGGGAGAAAAACAGAGAGGGAGAAAGGAAGAGGGAAGGAGGAAGAGGGAGAAGGAAAGGGAGGGGGAGAGGCAGGAAAGGAGAGAAAGAGAGACAGAGAACTAAGATTCCATAGACAACATAAAAAAGATCTTAGAGTCACAAAGTGTTGTGAGGGTTCAGAGATTGAAGCTATCACTTCAAATAGAGACAAATATAATAGTTGACAACCATGTAGCTTTTTTAAGTCATGCAAAGCGCTGTACATACATTATCTCTACAAGGACGATGTCTGTTGGGATGTGGTGTTTTTATAGGAACTGCCAATGCCGGGACACTTTCCAGTGAGCGTCAGTGCCAACATGTCCCCAGTCGGTTTGAAGGCAGCAAGGGGAGTTTGAGTGGGATGGAAAAGAAAGAAATGGGGAGAGGAAGGGGAGGGGAGCGGTACTGAGCCCATCCTCTAAAAATGACATTAGCTATGTGACAGTCAGGTGGTGTGGGGGGGCCGGGGAGGGAGGCGTTTAGTTTTGCTTTGTTAGTATTGGAGCAGCACCTCTTTTCAGTGCTAGTGTGGCAGGAATAGATAGGTCCATATGCCAGATCATGAAGTTTATGGGGGTCCAAGAGCCAGGGGACCACAGAGCCAGGGAGGAGCCGCAACCAAGAGAATCAGTGGAAGTTTCCGCAGGGCTCCCTGACTCTGGTGTGGACATCCTGTTGTGACTTGGCCACCTTCCTCCTGCTCTCACTTTCCTGGGACATAGGGATGCTTATTATAAGATGCTGAACATCGAAGTCGCAGCTTGAGAGACTGAAAAGAATGAAAAATAGACTCTAGCCTAGAAAAGCTTGCAATGACTGGGCTGTTGCATCCTATAGTACATGTATCGAATGCTTCTTGGTCTTTATCTTGCATTTACTAATTTAATTAAATTATTTAACCAAAAATTTGAGGCTGAGGTGACCTGAGAACATATAAAGCCCAAGAGGAAATGGGGATTTTCCAGTAAAATAAAGGCATGTGAGCCAAGGAGAGCAGAGCCTGAAATTAAGGGGGCTTGCCTCTCCTATCATTGCATTGTGAGGAACCACCTATCACATCTTATTTGATCCACACAACAGCCAGTGAGGTATATTAGATGATAGAGCGAAAGTTATTTGCATTTTACAGAAAAGAAAACTGAGGCTCAGAGGGGCTAAGGGACTTACCCATGATCATATTCCTAGAAAGCATCAGAGGCTGGTTGCAAAGCTGGGGCCCTCCTGATGCCAATTCCAGTGCTCTTTTCACTGCACCAAATTGCCTCTCCAGGGGAGGCTTCCTAGAGGAGGTGGTATTTGATCTCAGCCTTGAAGGACAGGCAGACTTTTGACGGGCAGAGCCATAGGGGTAGGGCATTTCAACCAGAGGAAATGGTCTAAGTGAAGACAAAGAGAGGGAAAAGCCTCAGGGTATATTAGGGGAGCCCTGCACAATCCAGTTTGGTTGATGCATAAGAGCAAGGGCTTTAGCAGTAATATCATGAAGGCCCTTCAAATGACAGGCTGAGTTGAGACAGCTTCTTTCACGTGGCATTTGGTAAAAGAGACTGAGGCTGCATTCTCTCCTCTTCTTCAGCTCCACCTAAGGATGCTTTTAGTCTCCATTCTTGAGTGTATGCACAAATAAAGGGCTATTATTGGGAAAACCAGGGGAACCAACTTTTGCTGATCCAACAGAGACAAAGCCAGAATAGGCTGGTGTTCCTCCCTAGCCCCCAGCCCTCCTTGCCAAATGAAGTGCCCAGCATAAAATTTTAAAAGTATTTAAGGCCCATTTTTTTTATAACAATAGCATTTCCTCAGTAGCGCCATATTGCTTTGAATCATGGAATAGCCCAATCTCTAAAGAACCAAGATTTCAATTGGATGATCTAAAGGCCAATAAAAAGATGAATGGGGCGGGGGGGGGGGGGGAGAAGTAAGGAAGCTATTGGCCAATGATGTCTTGCATGGAAGCAGTGGCATAAAAGGTGTCGCCAAGGAGATATATGACCAGAAAAGGAGGCGTTCCAATCACATACCAAGATGGATAGACTTAACAGATAGCTGGTCAACATGTTGAACTGCTATCTGCAAAATAAGGGAAAAAACCAGAGGGAGGTCTGTACTGCACTGGATGGATCTCCTTTGGAGGTCTAATGGAAAGCCTCGGACAGGAAACACACAGGAAAAGAACACATGGAGGCAGGAGGGTGTTGGAACCAGCTCCAACTGGTTCATGAGAACAAACTTTCCAGGGTAAGCCCTACAAATCAGGGCTTGTCTTGTTGTTTTTGTTTATTGTCTAAACTGAAGGAAGTGATAAAGAAAATGCAATAATGCAGGTTGAACTTAAAAGTACGTCTTGCATACATATTTTTCCCCTGGAGAGCTGGTTGTTAATCATTTACTATCACACCCCTTCAAGGAGGAAGTGGTAGAAGAAGTATCCAAGTGGAGGAAGTCACAGACCCACAGAAATATGAAAGAAAATGTGAGAAGTTATCAGATAGTCAAGATCTTCAAGCTCATGATAAATGTTGGTTGAAGGAGTTGGTAATGTTCATCCTGGAAAAAAGGCCAGGAGGGTGAGGGATTCAATCATGGTGTCTGACTTCAAGTATTTGAAAGACAGCTGTGTGGAAGGAGGATTACAGGGCAAAACTAGGAACAACGGATTGGCATTGTAGAGATGAATATAACTTGATATAAGGAAAACTTCCTAACAATTAGAGCACCCCAAAGTGGAATGGATTGCTTTCAGAATTGGTGGAGGCTTCCCACTTCCCCCCATTGTGAGCCTTCAACCAAAGGGTGGATAATTGCTCATTTTTCATGTGGTAGAAAGGTTCAGAGATGGGTTGGAGTGGATGGTATCTAGTGTCCTTTTGAACCCTGAAATTCTGTGATTCTGTAGCTTGAGCCAGAGGGGATGTCAGAGGTTATGTAGTCCAGCCCTCTTGTGTAATGGGGAAACTGCAGCCTAGACCTTGTTTAAAATCTCATAGCAGAGCCAAAACTCCATTCCAGGTCTTCTGCCTCCTACTCTGACCACTGCCCAGTACTCCTTCTGAGGCTGATTTAAAGACTCTTCCTTGGACTTCACTCATGACCGACCATAAAAATGGAAACTAAATCTTGAACTGAGAGTGAGCCCTTCCCTCTTGGGACAATATCTTATTCAGAGAGAAGTCAGAAAGATGTGTGCAGACATGTCAGGCTCTACATTGTAAACGAACTATTTCCCTGTGTTAAGGCCTGTTAGAGATGGGCCTCCCACATGTTGACATATTGTCAGCCTCGGGTTGAGCAAGAGAGGTCGATATGTGTTGCTATTTTTCTACCTTCTTTTGCCTTTTCATGAACCAACTTGGTCTTGACTCCTCCCCAGCCTGGCAGCTCATCGGCTCTGCATTCTGTGAAGCTATTCTCTGCTTGACATGAACAATTCACTGTTCCTAAGCCTAAGGGCTAATTACATCAAGGGGAGGAAAAAAGCCCAAACCTCAAATACTGGATGATTCAGCTGGGGCCATCACACACAGAAAATGCTTAACAGAATCACAGAATTTCCGAGCTGGCAGGGATCTCAGTGTCTGGCTTCTCCAGCTCCTCCCCGCAAAAGAATCTTCCCTACTACACACTGAATAAGTGGTCACCCAGACTGCTCAAAGATCTCTAGTGAGGAGGAAATCAGCTAGTTCTAGAAGCAGCCCGTTCCATTACCAAATAGCTCTAATTGTTCAGAGCTTTTCCCCCAACAACTAACTTAAATCTGTCTCTTTGCTTCCACCCATTTGCCCTCACTTCTGCCCTCTGGGGCCAAGAAGAACTAGGCCATTCTCTCTTCCACGAAGTAGTCTTTCAAATACTTGAAGATAGTCATTAAGTCTCCTCTGCTTCTTGTACAGCCAGAACTCAAGGTCCTTCACCACCCTTGTCAATCTCTTTTTTTTTTTTTGCTTTTTTGGTGAGGCAATCAGGGTTAAGTAAGTTGCCCAAGGTCACACAGCTAGTAAGTGTTAAGTGTCTGAGGCTGGATTTGAACTCAGGTCCTTCTGACTCCAAGGCCAGAGCTCTATTCACTGTGCCACCCAGCTGCCCCAATCCCCTTCTTAAAATAGGTGCCCAGAGTACTCCTTCTGATCATTGCATTCCCCCTTCCTGTTTGGGGAATAAAATATATCTTTTCTACTTGGGTCATGTTGAAGGAACAGAGAAAGGACTATTTTTCACTTGGGCCATGTTGAAGGAACAGAGAAAAGGCCATTTTGGCCAGACCATACAGTTTAGGAAGAGGGGTGTTACATAATGAGGCTGGAAAGAGAGATTGGGGACAGACTGTGAAGGTCTATAAAAGCCAAACAAAAGAATTTAAGTTTTATCCCAGTGCCAATAGAGAACCACTATAGTTTTTTGAGTAGGAAAGTGATATAGTCAAATCTGCATTTGAGGAAAATCACTTTGGCAGCTGTGCTGAGGATGGACTGGAATGGGGAGAGACTTGAGGTTGTGAAACCAAACTGGGAGGCTATTGTGATTGTCTAGATGAGAGGGAATGAGGGCCTGAGTTCAGATGGTGGCTCTGTGAGTAAAGAAAAGGTTCTTTGAATCACTCTCTGTGGTAGCAAGTAAATGGGTGCCTATCAATCGGGCAACGGCTGAATACATTGTAGTATGTGAATGTAATGGGATATTATTGCCCCATGAGAAATGGCAAAGACGAGGAATTCAGAGAAACATAGGATGATCTATATGAGCTGATGCAGAGTGTAGAAAGAACCAAGAAAAAACATACACGATGACTAAGAAAACATAAATAAAAAACAACACCAAAATGTAGTTGGACTCAGCCATATTGGATTTGCTGTTCTAAATCACATTTCTCTCCTTACGGTAGAGAGAGATAAATGGCCTTTGAATACAGAATGTTGCATACATTGTCAGATCCAGCCGCTTTGCTCCACTGAGTTTTACTTAACCTTGGATTTAATGGAGGAGGCTATACTGGGAAATGATTGTGGTATTAAAAACAGAAGACATCAATAAAACTTTTTTTTTAATTTCCTAGAAAAAAAAAAGAAGCAAGACTTGTGAAATGTAACGTACTCCTTGGCCCTAAGGCCTTCGAGGAGGACAGAATATCTTACATAAAACAAACAGGAGCTATAACCTCCCCTCCTTTAATAGTCTCCAAGCCTCTGTTTAGACAATAAAAGAATCTTTAAACAGTTTACAGCCTGACTCTCTTTACTTCAGAAACAACTTAGTGTGCTGGACATGGGGGAAAAGAAAATCTGGATTTGAATCTTGCCTCTACCATTTAACTAGCTGCAGGACTGGGGGTAAATGATTTAATGTCTCTGAAGACTCAGATTCCTCATCCCATAAAATGGGGATAATAATACCCACAGTACTTGTCTTACAGGGTTGTTTCCTGTTCAAATGAGGCAAACTCAAGAGCACAGTGTAAATGTCACATTATTATTCTACAACCCTCTTCCAGATTCTTTTGGGTTTTTTTAGTCATTTTTCAATTATGTCCTACTCCTCAGTGACCCCATTTGTGGGGTTTCTTGGCAAAGATACTGGAGTGGTTTGCCATTTCCTTCTCCAGCTCATTTTACAGATAAGGACACTGAGGCCAACAGGATTAAGTGACTTGCCCAGGGTCACACAGCTAGTAAGTGTCTGAGTACTTACCTATATGCTTTCCTGCTCCTAAACAGCCTTATTCCCACCCTGCACCCAGGGAGATAACTCTGAACCAATTCTAGATCCTGATGCCACAGAAGGAATGGGTAGAGATGGAGGGAAGGTGCTGGGTTTCCCATCAGAGTACCAACACTCTAGAGATGAGGCCAAGAAAAGCAGACTGGCCTCTCTTCTTTCAGAAAGAAAGAGCTCTAGGGGCAGCTAGGTGGCTCGGGCCTTGAAGTCAGGAGGACCTGAGTTCAAATCCGACCTCAGACACTTGATACCACCTGTGTGACCCTGGGCAAGTCACTTAACCCTGATTGCTTCATCAAAAAGCGAAAGAAAGAAAGAAAGAAAGAAAGAAAGAAAGAAAGAAAGAAAGAAAGAAAGAAAGAAAGAAAGAAAGAAAGAAAGAAAGAAAGAAAAAGCTCCTCTCAAGTCCACCTCCAATTTTCAAATTGCCCAACACCAGACCAGGAAAGGATTAAGAGACTAGTCTCCCACTACTTCCTTGTACAGAAAAGACGGATGAGGGAAAGGACCGACTGTCCAGGGTTACATGGTGGGCTTGTGGCCGAGACAGAACTCAGGCCTGGCTCTCCTGATTCTCAATCCTGGGCTCTTTTTACTATGTCAGACACTCCAATTCAACTCAATTCAATCAGTTCAGCAAATCAATATATTTTTTGGTTATCACTAT